AGGGTTGTTTTGGGAAAATGTTGTTATTGTATTTGTTTTAAAGTTAAACTACAAACTAAGTTCCTCCTAAAGTTAATGCAGCCTATGCCCAGGAATGAGCCAGGACAGCTTGGAGGTTAGAAGCATGATGGAGTCTGTTAGGTTAGATCTCTTTCACTGTCATAATTTTCTCAGTTATAATTTTTGCAAAGGTGGTTTCAATACCTTTACACCAACATCTAGATTAGTGTTTTACCAAATATCTGCCTGTTATGGCCTAACCAAGTTGACATGTAAAATTAACCATCACAACAGCATATAGTTGCGGCTTTAAAAATCCAGTCTGACAGTTTCTGCCTTGTGTTTACATTGTTTAATCCATTCACATTTAATGTCATTATTGATATAGTTGGATATATTTCCATTTTACACTTTTTCTGTATCATTTGTTTGTTCTTCTGTTCATCCTTTGCTGCTTTCCTTTGCAATTAGTGAAAATTTTATAAAGTAACATTTCAATTCTTTCAATTATTTTTTCACTATGTTTTTTGAGTAATTTCCTTAGTAGTTGTTTTAGGACTTGCAATATGCTTTGCTTATCAAATCTACTCAACTTATTAAAATCTACCTCAGTTTAATGCTAAATTAATTTCAGTGAGATATAAAAACTTTATTCCTATATATCAGTATTATCTATTATTCCTCTTTTTTCTATTATTATACATAGTACATCTACATGTTATAGACCCAGCAATACATTATCATACTTATTACTTTATCTAATGTTTTGTCTTTTAAATAAACTAAGAGAAGAATGGACAGCAAGTATGTATTTTTAGCCCTTGTTATACTAACCATTGTATTTACCATTTCTGGTTTTCTTCATTTGTTCCTATGTATTTGAGTTACCATCTAGTGTCATTTATTTAGAAGAACACAGATTTGCTCACTCCCACCTTCTTTGTGCTATTATTGGCAAATATATTATATTTCTCTGTGTTATAGGCCCAAACATACAAAAAAGTATATACATATCATTTTGTACAGTTAGTTGTTCTTTAAGTCAGCTAATGGAAGAAAGGAGAAGAAACATGCATTTATGCCATTTCTTAATTCCATAATTGTCTTTATAAGCATGGATTAAATAATTATTTATTATTGATATTTATTCCATGTCTTTATAAATATGGATTCAAATTTCTGTCTGGGGTCAATTGCTTGTGACTGAACAACTTCCTTTAGGATTTCCTGTAGAGCAGGTCAGCTAGCAACATTTTCTTAAAATTGTTATCTGGTAATGTCCTTATTTTGCCTTTATTGTTTAAACATAGCTCTGCTGGACACAGGATTCTTGGGGATAGTTTTCTGTTTGTTTGTTTTTGTTTTTTCTTTCAGCACTTCGTACATGTCATTCCCCTGCTTTCTGCCTTCTATTGTTTCTAATAAGAAGTCAGTTGTCAACCTACTGGGGTTCTTTTGTAGGTTATGAGTGTTTTTCTCTTTCTTATTTCAAGAGATTTTTTCCTTGTCTTTGGCTTTCAGCAAATGTACTGATATGTTTATGTATAGACGTCTTTGTGTTTATCCTGCTTGGTGTACGTTAAGCCCCCTTGATGTGTAGGTTAATATTTTTCATCATATTTAGGACGTTTCCAGCCATTACTTCTTCAAAAATTTTTCTGTTCCTTTTTCTATTTTCTATTTGGCATACCCATTATGGAAATATTGATACGCCTAATGGTGTCCCAAATTCCCCTGAGACTGTTTTTCTTCATTAGTTTTCTTTTGTTCTTCAGACTGCATTATCTCTTTCTGCCGATCTTCATGTTTGCTAATTCTTTCTTCACATCTACTATTGAGCTCCTCTACTGAGTTTTTCATTTCAGTTATTGTACTTTTCAACTCCAGAACCTATATTTGGTTCCTTTTTAATAATCTGTATCTCATTATTCTCTGTTTGATAAGACATTGCCATAATACCTTTCTTCATTTCTTTAAGCATGGTTTCCTTTACTTTTAGAATATATTTGTAATGGTTACTTTAAAGCTTTTGTCTGTTACAACTGATGTCTGGTCACTTTCACAGTTTCTGTTGCCTTGTTTTTTTCCTATATATGACACAAACTTTTATTTTTTTTGCATGTGTTGTAATTTTTTTTTTTAACTGAGCTCTGAACTTTTTTGATATTATAGGTTGGTAACCGTGGGTACTATTCTCACCAAGGGAGTTGTTGCTGTTTGCTAGTTTATTGTTTAGTGACTTGCTGAGCAGTTTCAGTGAAGTCTTTCCCTTCCTGTGTGAAGCCTCAGAGGTTGTTCCTCAGAGGGTGCAGACCTGGGCATGGGCACAGTCATCCCTGGATGACAGTGATTTTTGCAGGGTTCTTGACTGTCTCTTTTCATGACTACATCCAGCTATTAAACTCCACTAAGTTTAATATTAATCCAGCTATTAAACTTGACTAATCTCTTATTTCTTATTGGTTTCAACAATGCCCTGGGGTGTGAATTTCTCCAAAAACTGATCCAATTAAATTATATGGGTAATTTGAAGTCAGGGTTTAAGCTTCATGGCAGGAGGGCTCTTCGTAGCTGTCTTTTTCCTTGGTTCTCTTCAGTAAACTAGCTAGCATATGGTTTGACTTATACCTGTAATGGAGCTAGCTATCAGTCACCTCTTAATTGCTTTCCATCAAAACTTCCTTTTTTTTAGATGGAATTTCACTCTTGTTGCCCAGGCTGGAGTGCAATGGTGCAATCTCAGCTCACTGCAACCTCCCCCTCCCGGGTTCAAATGATTCTCCTGCCTCAGCCTCCCGAGTAGCTAAGATTACAGGTATGCGCCACCATGCCTAGCTAATTTTGTATTTTTAGTAGAGACAGGGTTTCTCCATGTTGGTCAGGCTGGTCTTGAACTCCTGACCTCAGGTGATCCACCCGCCTTGGCCTCCCAAAGTGCTGGGATTACAGGTGTGAGCCACTGCACCTGGTCTGTTTTTTACAGCATCTTTAGGCTTTAACTTCCTCTATCCTCTGTTTCAAATTAAGTCAATTAAATTGGGGAGAGCAGAGGTGTTCTCTGTCTTATGGCCCAACTCTCCCCCTGGGCAAAACCTCTGAGCTGGGATAATGGAATGCTTTTCTGCTTCAGGGCTGGATGTTCAGTGGAGGACAGTAGTCTCTGGTCTTCTTGGCTTGCCTCTCCAAGCATAAAACCCTTTCCCTATGAATGAGCCAGGGCCCAGTCCCCAGTATAGCACCTCATGCCCAAGGTAGCCTTCACCTTATGAGTAGGGGCTGAGTCGAAGAAGGGAGACCCAAAGTCATAGCTATACTTACCCAAAACATAACCTCTGCAAAAGGTTGCTAAGGATGGGATGAGAAATGCTAACCTTCTTCCCCTTATAGAAATATACCTTAGCCCTTGATTGGAAGCTGGGGGAAAAGGGAGTCTAATATTTTTGGCTGAACCTGCCTAGAGTAACGTTCTGTCACACTGGCCTGTGGGAAGGAAGGAGAGGATGTGGACCATGGATTTCACTGTTCTTAACAAGTCTAATAGATTTCCTTGAATACATGTTTCTTCATTTGCTGTATGCCCTTAGGATCCGCTATGGTTTGAATGTGTTTCCCACATTTCATGTGTTGGGAACAGAACCCCCAATGTGGCAGTATTGAAAGGTAGGGCATTTAAGAGGTGATTGGATGCTGAGGGCTCTGCTTTCATGAATGGATTAATCCATTGATTAATGGATTGATGAGTTAACATGGAAGTGGAACTGGTAGCTTTATAAGAAGAGGGAAAGCAACCTGAGTAAGCATGTTAGCATGAGATTAAGCATGTCAGCACTCTCGCCAGGTGATGTTCTGTGCTGCCTTCAGACACTGTAGAAAGCCCCCACCAGGAGTAAGCCCTCATCAGATGCTGAGCCACGCCTTTGGACTACCCAGTCTCCATAATTGCAATAAACAAATTGCTTTTCTTTATATAAATTACCCAGTTTTAGGTATTCCGTTATAAGCAACAGAAAATGGACTAAGGCAGGATCATTACTAAAGGCTTTAAGCGGTTATATTTTAAAATAACTTTCACCAGTTTCACTGGGGTACAGGTTTACAGACCTGTTAAACTGTTATTCTGGAAGTCTCAAAATTATTCCATATCAAGTCTTACTGACTTTTTCTCTCTCCTTCATAAAACAGAGTCAGTTCTTATTATTCTTTCTATGTGTTGAACATTCTGTGGTTGTAACAAATCATATTTGTTTATCTCAGTGTGGCTTCAATTTTTCATGAGGTGTCTGATTCACCTCATGAAAAAACAAGTTATGTAATCCTAATTTCTTAATCTATAGAAAACAGAAATCAATGTGTTCTGAAATAACTGGACAAAAATGTCTTGAAAATTATGCCAAATTTCTGCTCTAACATGTTTGGATCAGTTTCCTGAAACTACTTGGTCTAGTCAAGGTGACTAAAGAGCATTAATATCTGCAACATTTATCTTGAAAACATAGACCGTGGGGTCCAGTGAGTTTCTTAGGAAAAGTCCTTTTAAATCTTGCTGAACTTCTTAGCTCCCATTCCCTTCAAAGGGCACTTATCATTACAAACTCATTACTGTTATGTTTAAAAGCTTTTTTACTCTCTTGAGATGATTTTCTTCTTAAGGATCCAGGTGATAAAATCGTTTTTCTGTTTTAAATGCTTTAAGTTGTCTTTCAAAGTATTAAAGTACACATCGTAGCATGTTAATTCATAGTCTCTCTACCATCTGAGTACCTTTTTCCTCTCCTCTGGTCCTCACTCTTCTTTCTCTAGTGAATTATTCATTACTCACAACTTATCAAATGATACGTGAGCGCTGAAGTGCTATTCAAGAAGTCTCTTAGAAATGACTCAAACTTTCTGTTTTAACGTCTTTTAATATTATCCCTCAATTTAGCTTTTATGAAGCCACCCAGGATAAAACAGATGCCTAAAGGGTATCTGCCTCTATAATTTTTGTTTTGAAAATACAGGAGATAGTGTCCAAGGAATTATCTGGGCAATCTGAAGATGAAGATGTACAAAACGAAAGAAAGAGAATCCTGGAGCAGCCTCAGGAGTTGCTGGATTCTATAGTACTTATTAAAGAACTCATAAAGGTAATATAATTCAATGGCTAACATACACTGGCTTCATTTCTACTTACAAGTGTGCCACTGGTGCCAAGGGCTCACTGTGGTTCTTTGGGCTCTATATGTATTCTCCCGGTAGAACAGAAGAGTTATCATGAAACTGTCTCAAGTAGTGATCCATAGGGGTCTGAGATATTACTAATTGTACTTTACCTATAAGTATTCTTTACTGAATTGTGTTTCCTGGATTTTTTTTTTTTAGATATATTTTAAGTGCCCAGCCATTCTGGCTGTAAAAAATATCTCCCTTGCAATCCAAAAGGGGGAGTGCTTTGGATTGCTTGGATTCAATGGAGCTGGAAAAACAACTACTTTCCAAATTTTGACTGGGGAAGCGAGCCCTACCTCTGGAGATGTGTTGATTGATGGCTTTAGCATCACAAAAGATATCCTACAGGTAAGAGGCCGTTACAGTCTAAGATGTGAGAAGCATAATGAATGACTCAGGTTCAGGTAACAGGTAGGTGGCTAGGGAAGGGAGATGGGAAATATGGTATGTATTGATATTTATTTTGTTGATGCCGTCAATGGATTCTGGAGAGGGAAATAAACTTTTGAAGAGTGAAGCAGTAAGAGCAGAATCTAAAACAAGAGTGTCTTCTGTGATCTTTGTTAAAGTAAAAGGCAAGTTCTTTCAACATTACATCTAACATATGCCAGACAAGGTATGGTAAAGGTGTAAGAATGGTAAGGCTAGGCAGAAGGAGAAGATGACCTGCAATTCAGTTGCACCTGAGGCCTTGCTCCGTCTTACTGAGAGCTCTGCAGCAAGATGGCCTTTCACAAGTCCCCCAGGTAAAGCAAGGTCACTAGCCTTTGTATCTCTGCATCTGCCAGTCATTGGCCACACATGCCACCTGGAAGAGAGGATGTAACCTTGGAAAGAAGCTAAGTGTGGGGAGAATTTCAAGAATAGGAGAATTAGCAAATGTGTCAAACGCCAGGAAGACTAAGGCAAGGTAAAGCCTGGATAATGTACATTGGCTTTAGTAAGTAGAACTTCATTGATGAGGTTGGCAAGAGCAATTGCACTAGGGTTAAGTAGGTGGTAGTAACAAGAGCGTGAATAGTGAATTCATTTCTCCTCACTTCATCACATCAGCCACTATCACCATAGAAGTAGGAAAATGGAGTTGGCAGAGTCTGCATCCTGCGGGATAAACAGTAGTCTAGTTTATTAGTCCGTTCTCATCCTGATAATAAAGACATACCCGAGACTGGGTAATTTATAAAGGAAAGAGATTTAATTGACTCACAGTTTCACATGACTGGGGAGGCCTCACAATCACGGAGGAAGGCAAATGAGGAGCAAAGTCATGTCTCACATGGCGACAGGCAAGAAAGCTTGTGCAGGGGAACTCTCATTAAAACCATCAGATCTCATGAGATGTATTCACTATCACAAGAACAACACAGGAAAGGCCTGCCCCTGTGATTCAATTACCTCCCACCGAGTCCCTCCCATGACAAGTGGGAGTTATGGGAGCTACAATTCAAGATGAGATTTGGGTGGGGACACAGCCAAAGCATATCATCTGGTAACCAGAAGTGGAGCTAAAAATGTGGATTATACTTTGAAGAAAGTTAGCTGTGAGGCAAAATGAAGAATGAAAATTCACCCAGATTTGTGATAAGGACAGAAAATATTTCATAGGGTGAATAACTCAAGCACATTTATACTGGAAGGGGAGGAGTTAAAGAAACAGAGGAGGGAGTGATACATGATGGCAGGAGGTGATCTGTTCCTGCCAGGTGGTCCTTGCAAAAAAGTCGGGGAACATGAGGTCTCCCCTAACTATCTTTGTTCATACCATTTGTCCCCTTGGGGAACATAAGGGTGGCATAAAACAGTCCAGTCTCCTGACTGTGAGTAATGGAGAAAAAGTTTAAGTGAATCTGGTACCAAGGAGCAAAAGCTAAATTGGGAACTAAAAAGACAGTTAATACAAAATGTCATATTTTAAAAAAGAACAGGCATATGGGCAAAATGTCAGCCTTTTGCAAGGACTGATTCAAAGTTCAGTAAATCTGAGGGAACTCTTTCAAGCCTCAGAGAATCTCTCCAAGTTTGCTATTCTAAAACATTTATCATATTTTATGTAACAGATGGTAATATTTTCATTTATTCAGACCTTAAAAAATTTTACATTGTCTTTCTATTGTGGTAAAAATGCATAATATAAAAATTGAAAAATGCATAATATAAAAAAGTTCATCTCCATAACTTTTTCCTTAAATTAAATATCTCTACTCATTAAACAACAACTCCTCATCCTTTCATTTACTCCTTTGAATTTGACTATACTAGGTACCTCATGTAAGTAGAGTCATATACTATTTTCCTTGTATATCTGATATACTTCACCTAGCACAATACCTTCAAGGTTCACCTATGTATTTGAATTTCATTCAGTTTGGCTGGGCACGGTGGCTCATGCCTGTAATCCCAGCACTTTGAGAGGCCAAGGTGGGCGGATCACTTGAGGTCAAGAGGTCAAGAGTTTAAGACGAGGCTGGCCAACATGGTGAAACCCCATCTCTACTAAAAAGACTAAAATTAGCCAGGTGTGGTGGTGTGTGCCTACAATCCCAACTATTTGAGAGGCTGAGGCAGGAGAATTGCTTGAAGCAAGGAGGTAAAAGTTACAGTGAGCCCAGCCTGGGCAACAAGAGCGAAACTCTGTCTCAAAAAAAAAAAAAAAAAATTCATTCAGTTTTATGGCTGATAATATTCCTTTGTATGAGTATACAACATTTTGCTTTTCCATTCATCCATTTATGGTACATTTGGGTTGTTTGTACCTTTTGGCTCTTGCGAATAATGCATCAACATTGATACACAAATATCTGAGCCCCTGCTATTGATTATCTGGGATACATACCTATAGGTGGAATGCAGAATCATATAGTAATTCTATGATTACTTTCATAAGAACTTCTATACTGTATTCCACAGCAGCTGTGTCATTTTACATTCCTACCAGCAATGCACAAGAGTTCCAATTTATCCACGTAATCACTAACTCTTCTTAATTTTTGTTTTAATAGTAGCCATCCTAATGACTGTGAGGTGGTATCCCCTTGTAGTTTTGATTTGCATTTCCCTAACAATTAGTGATATTGGGCATTTTTTTCATGTGCTTACTGGCCATTTGTATATCTTCTTGGAGAAGTGCCTATATTAATCATTTGCACAATTTTAAATTGTGTTGTTTGGTTTCAGTTGCTGTTGAACTGGAGGAATCCTTTATATATTCTGGATATTAATTCATACATGATTTGTAAATATTTTTTCCCATTACATATAACATATGCCAGACAAGGTGCTATAAGGGTGTAAGGATGGCAAGACTGGGCAGAAGGAGAAGATGACCTGCAATTCAGTTGCACCTGAGGCCTTGCTCCATTTTACTGAGAGCTCTGCAGCAAGATGACCTTTCACAAGTCCCGCAATTGAAACAAGGTTGCTAGCCTTTGTATCTCTGCATCTAGCAGTCATTGGCTGCACATGCCACCTGGAAGAGAGGGTGTAACCTGAGAAAGAAGCCTTTTCTGGTATCCTTTGGTGCACACATGTTTTAATATGAAGTTCATTTTATCTAATTTTTCTTTTGTTGCCTGTGATTTTGGTGTCCTATCCACAAAATTATTGTCAAATTCGATGTCATGAAGTTTTTCCTCTATTTTTTTTCTAAGAGGTTTATAAGTTTAACTAACATGTTTAGGTCTTTGATCCATTTTGAGTTTATTATGGTATATAGTGCAAGGGAAGGATCCAGCATCAATCTTATTCATGTGAATATCCAGTTTTCTCAACATCGTTTGTTGAAAAGTCTGTCCTTTGTCTATTGAATGGTCTTGGCACCCATGTGTGATTAATTGATCATTTCCTGAGGATTTATTTCTGGATCTCTGTTCTCTTTTACGGATCTGTATGTGTGTATTTATGCCACACAGTTTTTCATTACTGAAACTTTTCAGTAAGTTTTGAATTTATAAAGTATGAGTCCTCTAATTTCATCCTTCCTTTCAAAAGATTGTTTTGGCCATTTGGGTCCCGGAAGGTACTACATGAATTTTAGGATGCATTTTTCTACTTCTGCAAAAAAAAAAAAAAGAAAGAAAAAAAAAGTTATCAGGATTTTGATAGAAACTGCATTGAATCTGGAGATTATTTGTGACAACAATAGTAAGTTTCCCAATCCATGAACATGGGATGTATTCCTATTTATTTATGTCTTCTTTAATTTTTCAGCAATTTTTATAGTTTTCAGTGTAAGAGACTTTTAACTTATTGGTTAAGTCTATTCCTATGCATTTTACTCTTTTTGATGCTATATAAATTGAATTGTTTTCTTAATTTCCTTTTGGGGAGTTTTATTGTTAGCGTATAGAAATGTAACTGATTTTTTAAAAGAAAAAAAAATAGATCAATCTATTAATTTCCCTATACCTTGCACAATATGAACAGAATAGATGCATAAAAATTCAAGAAAAATTAAGAGGAAAATAATAAATCCAGAGAAGAGATAAGTCTATAGAAAAACTCACTTTGATTAACTTGGAAAGTGCCACAACATTACCACTAAGCTTCTTAGAATCTATATTAACTATGAGATCTGACTTCATATCAAATGCAACTATCTTTTCCAAATAGAAGTCAGGGTCCAAGCAACCTGACTGAGTGAATATTCAGGGATATAAAACTGGATCATGGTTATAATTTGCTAGGATGCTGCCTTTTTTGTCATTGTTGTTGTATTGTCATTCTCTGCCTGGAGAAAAAAAAAATGGGATGGTTGCTATAGTGGTTATAGTAGAGTCAAGAGACAGATGACTTGGTCTCCAGCACCATCGAGTTATGGGAGGATAGGGAAAAATAACTCCTAGTCAGGGCTATGAAGGTATTACATAGAAGGCCATATTGGTGACCAAACTAGTTCAAATCTATGCATATCAGTCAACTTTGTGCTTGATATTTTGTGGTTTTTCCCACTCAGAGACATGCTGAGCAGCAACTATGGCTCATGGGATATTGGCAGACCTCATTTTAAATACAGGGGTGGCACTCCTTTTTTAAATGTAGAAGTAGCAAGGTCTATGTGAATTAGTCACTTTTTCATGGTGCCAGAGTCCATGGAAACTTGACTTACATCCAGGAATCACACAGCTGGTTTCCATGTTTATTTTTGTTTCTTTGTTTTTTAATGTAAGCATTTATAGTTTGTATGGCTCCCAGTTCCCCTGTTTTCTATCTTTGTCCTGACTGAGAAAACAGAGTGCCTTGACCAAACTGAGTTGCTGTTCCAGGCCAGCTTTATGCCTTCTCCTACAGGCTTGGACACAAGCCAGGGCCTGGAAGGTGCCAAGGAACATTCCAAGACACTGATGAAGTTCTTTAAGTTGTTGCCCAAAACTGAAAGGTCAAACATCTTGCTAAACACATAGAAAGTAGCCCTGGCCCTGAGCCAAATTCTTTAAACACTCTGTAAACCAACTCCCTCCTTATAGCCATACCCAGGTAGAACATCTTTTTTGCTATCCATCACAAGGACACCACAACTCTCATATGTAAATTTTCCTAACAAATGTTTTGGACGATTATCTAGGGCTTCTTTCTTTGGAATCCCAATTGGCTCTACCTCAGGGTGATGTGGGGCAGTCCACTATAAGAACTCCTCAGCCACCACTTTTGGGGCAACACTGACCATTGGCTCCAAGGACAGAACATAGCTATAAATTTCCCCCTGAACACTGCTTTTGCTGGGCCTCATGAGTTTTTGTGTAGTGTTTTCTTTGTTTTCACTCATCTCTAAGCATTTTCTAAATTCTCTTATGATTTCTTCATTTAGCCATTGGTTGTTTAAGAGTGTGTAGTTTAATTTCTGCAAATTTGTGAATTTTCCAGGTTTTCTCCTGTTAATGATACCTAAATTCATCCAATTATGGTTGGAAAAGGTGGTTTATCTTTTCAAATCTACTGAGATTTAATTTATAGCCTAAAATATGGTTCATCCTGGAAGATGTCCCATGTGCACGTAAAAAGAGTGTGTACTCTGTTTTTTGTTGATTAGTGTTCTGCATATGTTAGTTAGATCTAATTGGTTTATTGTGTTATTTAAGGTGTCTACATCCTTATTGATCTTCTGTCTGGTTGTTCTATTCATTAATGAGAGTAAGATATTAAAATATCCAACTATTATTATAGAATTGTTTCTTTAATTCTTCTATTTTGAGGATCTGCTATTAGATGTGTAAATGTTTTTACTTTTTACATCTCCATTCTGAATTGAACCTTTTATTAATATGTAATATTCTTTGCTTCTTCTAAATTTTCTTGATTTAAGGTCCATTTTATCTGATATTAGTGTAGCCACCCTTATACCCCATTTGATTACTAAATGCATGAAATATCTTTTTTTCCATCCTTTCATTTTCAGTCTACTTATGTTTTTGGATCTAAAGTGAGTCTCCTGGAGATGGCATCTAGTTGAATCATTTTTTTTTTTAATTCGTTCTGCCAATCTCTGTCTTTTGATTGGAGAGTTTAATGTATTTATATTTAAAGTACTTATAAGGAGAAACTTATTCCATCATTTTGCTATTTTTTCTGTATGCCTTATAGCTTTTATATCCCCAATTTCCTGCATTACTGGTTTTTGTTTTTGGTTTTTTTTTTTTGAGATTGAGTCTCACTCTGTCACCCAGGCTGGAGTACTGTGGCACAATCTCAGCTCATTGTAACCTCCGCCTCCTGGGTTCTAATGATTCTTCTGCCTCAGCTTTCAGAGTAGCTGAGATTACAGGCTGATGCCAGCGTACCAGGCTAATTGTTTTTTCCTATATTTTTAGTAAGAGATAGATTTCACCATATGGCCAGGCTGGTCTCGAACTCCTGACCTCAAGTGATCCACCTGTCTCAGCCTCCCAAAGTGCTGAGATTACAGATGTGAGCCACCATGCCCAGCCAGCATTACTATTTTCCTTTGCATTTAGTTGATTTTTTTGTAGTAAAACATTTAAATTCCTTTCTCATTTTCTTTTGTAAATATTCTGTAACTATTTTCTTTGTAGTTATCAGACAGTACATTTAATATACTAATGTTATACTAATTTGAATTTATATCAACTTAACTTCAGTAACATAAAAAACTCTGCTCCTTTACAGCTCCATCCCACCCCTTTCAGTTGCTGATGTCACAAAATTACATCTTTATACACTATGTGCCCAAAACATAATTATTTTAAATGCATTAAAATTTTAAATTACATAGAAAACAAAATGTAAAGTAACAAACTTTTGTTATGATACTATTAGCTTTTATAATTCCCTATGTATTTACCTTTATTGAGATCTTTACTTCTTATGGCATTAACTTATATCAGCAATAAGTTTCTGATATCTGCTGATAATCTTGAGAGATTTTTTTTTAACGTGATCCATGGCTTCTGTCTTCCTGATTTCAAGTTTAGGGGGCATGAATAGTTTGGAAACACTGTAAATTAATTAGTAATTTAATTTAATTTAATTTAATTTAATTTGATAGCCTTTTCTCTGGCTCTTAGGCTTTTCATTTCATCTTGTAGGACTTCCTTGAGCATTTCCTACAGGACAGGTCTATTGACAACAAACTCCATCAACGTTCATTTATCTGATAATGTCTTAATTTCTTCTTCACTCTTGAAATAGTTTTACCAGATGCAAGATTCTTGTTTGACAGTTTTCTTCTTTTAACAGTTTTGAGGGTGGATGGGGAAAGGCTTTTCTTCTGGTTCAGCCCATTGCCTCTGGTTGCTGAAGTTTCTGATATCTGCTGATAATCTTGAGAGATTTTTTTTTTAACGTGATCCATGGCTTCTGTCTTCCTGATTTCAAGATTCTCTCTCTGGCTTTGGCTTTTGCCAAATTTATAATAACATGTCTTGGTGTGGGTCTCTTTGAGTTCATTTTACTTAGAGTTCATTGGGCTCCTGGATGTTTCTATTAATCAAATTTGGAAAGTTTTCAATCATTATTTCTTCAAATTATCTCTCTGCCCTTTTCTTTCTTCTCCTTCTTGAATACCACAGTGTATATATTAGTCCACTTGATGGTATTCCAAAGGTCCCTTAGGCTCTGTTTACATTTCTTTGATCTTTTTTCTTTTTTTCTTTTTTTGATCTTTTTTCTTTCTGTTCCTCGGACTAAATAATTGCCATTGTCCTACAGTAAAGTTAATTAATTGTTTCTTCTGCCTATTCAAACATGACTTTTTTTTTTTTTTTTTTTTTTTTTTTTTTTTTTTTTTTTTTTTTTTGAGATGGAGTCTTGCTCTGTCGCCCAGGCTGGAGTGCCGTGGTGCAATCTCGGCTCACTGCAGGCTTTGCCTCCCGGGTTCACACCATTCTTCTGCCTCAGCCTCTCGAGTAGCTGGTACTACAGGTGCCCGCCACCACACCTGGCTAATTTTTTGTGTTTTTAGTAGAGACAGGATTTCACCATGTTAGCCAGTATGGTCTAGATCTCCTGACCTCGTGATCCACCTGCCTTGGCCTCCCAAAGTGCTGGGATTACAGGCGTGAGCCACCACGCCCAGCCTCAAACATGACTTTCAATCCTACTAGTTAATACTTTATTTCAGTTATTATACTTTTCCACTCTAGAATTTTTTTATTTCCTTTTAAAGTTTCTACCTCTTATTGATATTTCCATTTTGTTTGTACATCATTTTCTTGACTTCCTCCACATCTCCATTTAGTTTTTAAAGCATCATTAAGACAATATTTTAAGGTATTTTTCTAGTATATCTGCCTTCATGTCTTTTTCAGTACAGTTTCCATTCATTTTTTTTTCCTTTCATCCTTTGATGGGTCATACTTTCCTGTTTCCCTCTATGATTCTGAGTTTTATTAAAAACTGGACATTTGACTCTAATAAAGTGGTAATTCTGGAAATCATATTTTCCTCATTCTCCTAGGTTTGCTGCTGTTTGTTACTTTTTATTTATTGTGTTTGTTTTTTGGATTGCTGTCTCTGTGCTTAGGATCAGCCTGGGGTGTGAAAATAAGTTCTTCTCAGGCATTTTCTGAGCCTGTGTCTTTCCCTGAGCATGTGTGGTTACTTTATAATTTTATTTATACATGCAGTTGTGTTTTAATGCCCTAATACTTAATGTATGAATCCCAAAAGAGGAAAATGAGAAAAATGAAGGATGGTGTGTAAAGGGAGCTAGTCTTTTAAAGCCCCTGTCACTTCAAACAGAGGGGCAGGGTCTCGTGCCATGCCAGGAGTTTAGGGGGCATGAATAGTTTGGAAACACTGTAAATTAATTAGTAATTTAATTTAATTTAATTTGATAGCCTTTTCTCTGGCTCTTAGGCTATGTGCACCTCAGTGTAAATCAACAGAAGGGTTTGACTAATTGGTAAAGCAACATTTATTGCAATCTCTGGTTTGGGGATGAATGCGGAAAGGCTTTGCTTCTGGTTCAGCCTTACTCTGGAACAAGATATACATATGGCTCTACAGGTTAAACAAAGCCAAAACATCATGGTGGCCATGCTCCTTGGAGTTCCTGATTAATGAGAAGAGCATCTCATATTCTAATAATCCTCCAAATTGTGTGGCTCTAGAATTTTATTTCTAACTTCTTTATCCCCAAGATCATTAAAACTGAATTATGGAAGCTATTATCCCAATGTCCTACAACAGGTCTGACAGCTATAATTGTGTAGCCCTTTAGGAAAAAAATAATCTTGGTAGGACTCTTAGAAGCATGGCTTGGAGGACTGCAGGTTTGCCATCTCATCCATGGATGTGTAGTGGGATGGATGACTTGGCTGTTTACTCAAGGCAATTTTTGTTATTAGGTAAGGTCAAGAATTGGCTACTGTCCTCAATTTGATGCCTTGCTGGAATATATGACTGCTCAGGAAATAATGATTATGTATGCCAGAATATGGGGAGTCTCTGAGCCCCAGATTAAGCTGTATGTGAACAAATGGTTGAATTCACTGGAACTGGAGTCTCATGCTGACAGGCTTATCAGCACCTACAGGTGAGTCACTATGCTACTGCTCTTTTCTGTTGATGCTGCTAACATGGAGGTGCTTCCTTTTGTTCTTGCTGTTTGAAATGAAGCTTACAGCTCCACCTAAGCTCCGCTTCCCACAATTACCTACTTGTGAAACTATCTAATGTTCTGCTAGGCTTCAGATGCCAGTAATAAGGCAAATCAATACAGTTCTACATCTTCCCTTTGCAGAGATGAAACGCAAAGTCTTGGTTCTATTTGAACTATATCCTCTGAACCTCAAAAAAAGGAGTGTCTTCTCTTTCTAGGGTCGCTATAGTTCTTTGTCTACCAAGTAAGGAGGAATGTAGGCCCTTTGAATTATGATGTGATTTATGTGACTTGGAAACTGTAACACTCTAAGAACATGGGTAAATAAATGCCACTGATAATGCTGCCAAAATTTATTACATAAAAGTCACTCCTCTATATCTCAAATTTAAATGAATTGATATACACATCTGTAATTGGGCCTGCTACCTAATCAAAGTCACATATAATCAGCATTGTGGATGTCCATGTTAAGTGTTTGCTGGGACGCTCAGCATTTGGGAAATTTGTACTAACTCTTTCCTATACATAACTGATATGTATAGCCATTTCTTCTCTCACTTTTTCTCTCCTCCTTTGGCCATGAAGTGAAGGAAACAAACGTAGGCTGAGTACTGCTATTGCCCTAATGGGAAGGTCTTCAGTCATCTTCCTGGATGAGCCATCAACTGGCATGGACCCAGTAGCCCGACGCCTGCTCTGGAACATAGTGACAAAGACACGCGAAAGTGGAAAAGCCATCGTTATAACCTCCCACAGGTGTGGCTCACTGGGAGGCTTGGTTGAGGGCTAGCGAGAGAGTTGTAGTGGCTGTAAGAGGGAATTATTTAGGCCCAGTGGATAATATTGGACAGTAAACTTGCCTGACTACGTTAGTTCCTCATTAGGAATTAGGATTCATGTTAATCCTAATAAATGACTAAAAATCCTCACTGAGTTTAACAAAAAAAGTGAGGAAAAGACAGGACTTCAGAAGATGCTCTATTTGAAAATTGGGCACTATGTTCTTTTTCATTTGAAAAATTCCCACTTCCCATCGACGAGTTTTATGATTGGAAAAATACAACTTCTGATTGAAAATAGGGTCGCAAAATTCTGGCTCTGATTGAACTACACAGTGTCCTCCAAAAGAGAACTTTTTACTTTTACCCTTACAACATTCTGCCCTTTTGTTTTGCAAGTATGGAGGAATGTGATGCACTCTGTACCAGTCTAGCCATCATGGTGCAAGGGAAGTTCATGTGCTTGGGCAGCCCTCAGCATCTCAAGAACAAGTTTGGCAACATTTACATCCTCAAGGTCAAGGTCAAGACTAAAGATAAATTAGAGGATTTTAAACGTTTTGTTACAACAACATTTCCAGGTAAATTAAGTTGCGCTACCTTTGTCAGAAATATATTACATCGGCCCGGTGCAGTGGTTCACGCCTGTAATCCCAGCACTTTGGGAGGCTGAGGTGGGCAGGTCAGTTGAGCTCAGGAGTTTGAGAAATGTGTTAAATCATGTTTGTTGTTCTCACCATCCATATGATTTATGTCTTCAATAGCAGTTTTCTGTGAGTTATTGATAGGTATTGATTTTCTATAATGTTCCTTTGGCAACGTTTGATACTATAAGTCTCTTGTGGCAGATTATGCTAAGTTTCACAAAAAACAGAGGTTCTCACAAACTCTTACATCACCTAACAAGGCAGTTTTATGTTTATAAATTAGTTGGGTGCAGTAGCTCACGCCTGTACTTCCAGCAACTTGGTAGGCTAAGTCCAGAGAACTGCTTGAGCCCCAGGGTTTAGGCTGCAATTAGCTATGATTGTGCTGTTGCACTCCAGTCTGGGTGACAGAGCAAGACCCCATCTCTAAAAAAAAATGATAATAAATAAAAACTAAAAATAAATTATATACCTAAAGTCCTATTTTAGCATAATTCTCAATTATTTTCACAGATTATTCATGCCAAATTTTAAGGTTTTTTCCTTCACACTACAAATGCAACTTTATGCTTTTACTGTCTCAGCTAGGATATGGTATTGAAATGCAAATAAGAACGTTGCCAAAGGAACATTATAGAAAATCAATACCTATCAATAACTCACAGAAAACTGGTATTGAAGACATAAATCATATGAATGGTGAGAACAACAAATACAATTTAACACATTTCTCAAGAACATATTTCTCTCCTTTCAAGAGGAGTTTGGTTTCTGAGTGCTGTTTCTTCATGCTAAATTCAGTAGGCACCTCTCTGCCTACATGGAACAGTACAAGAGAGACCATCCATTTCGATCTGTCTCTTATCTCTCTTTCCTTAACCTAAAGTGTGGGCAATGGCAAGGCTTTTAATAATTCTGGCTTTTCATCTTAGTTTCCACTTCGGTAGGCTGAGCAAAATACCACAGAAGTTCCTGTTGTGTGTTAGGCTAAGGGGTTGAAAATTTGTCTCCTAGGCAATGGAAAATAGCAAAATTGATTACACAGTAAGAATGAAAATCAGGGTCAGGTACAGTGGCTCATGCTTGTAATCCCAGCACTTTGGGAGGCTGAAGTGGGTGGATTACCTGAGGTCAGGAGTTCAAGACCAGCCTCGTCAACATGATGAATCCCCATATCCATTAAAAATACAGAAATTAGCTGTACATGACGGCGTGCACCTGTGGTCTCAGCTACTCAGGAGGCTGAGGCAGGAGAATTACTTGAACCGGAGAGGTGTAGGTTCCAGTGAGCAGAGGTCATGCCATTGCACTTTAGCCTGGGTGACAGAGAGAGACTTCATCTCAAAAAAGCAAAAAGAAAAGAAAATCAGAAAACAGATATGAAATGGATGGTCAAGCATATGTGAAGAACGAGCTGTGTGGAAAATTTATCACCCCAGTGTTGGTCATAGTGTTTATGGTGTGCCCTTGACACATGTAGATGGATATGTCTATTAAGAAGTTGAATATTCACTTATGCGTTTGTGTGGCAAATATTTTTGAGGACTTATTGTGTCAGAGTTTGATTTGATGTGATCAATAAATCACTTTAAGAAAGCTCTATAGGCTAAGGCACGGTGGCTCACACCTGTAATCCCAGCACTTTGGAAGGCCAAGGCGGGCGGATCACAAGGTTAGGAATTTGAGACCAGCCTGGCCAATATGGTGAAACCCCATCTCTACTAAAAATAGAAAAATTAGCCAGGCATGGTGGCAGGTGCCTGTAATCCCAGCTACTCGGGAGGCTGAGGCAGGAGAATCGCTTGAACCCGGAAGGTGGAGGTTGCAGTGAGCTGAGATCGCGCCACTGGACTCCAGCCTGGGCAACAGAGTGAGACTCCATCTTAAAAACAAAATCAAAAAGCTCTGCACACTTCAGGATAATACAGAAAAACAATTCAACAAAATCAGGTAAACAATAAATTACCCAGACTAGTAACTTAATAGAAACATTGAAATTTCTTCTTAAAAAATCAAACAGAAATCATGGATATGTAATATACAGTGAATAAAATGAAGAATGCAGTAGGAAGCATTAACAGCAGAATTTATCAAGCAGAGAAAACTATCTCAACTCAAATAGGCTTTTTGAAAATATACAGTTAGACAATTAAAAGAAAAATTAAGAGGAATGAAGAAAGCTCATGAGATTTATAGAACAGCATCAAAAGAGCCAGTATTTACATTATTAGAGTTTGTGAGGAAGAAGAAAAAACAAATTGTTAGATTACTTAAAGAAACAAAAGCAGAAGATTTTCCAAATATTAAGAAAAACATAAATATCCAGGTACAAGAGGGTCACATATCTGCATTCGGATTCAATACAAACAAGGCTACATCAAGACATTATAATTAAATGGTCAAAAATCAAGCACAAAGAGAGGATCCTGAAAGCAGCAAGAGAAAAAACAAAAGCAAATAACATATAAGGGAGATTCCATAAGGCTAGCTGCAGATTTCGCAGCAGGGACCTCATGGGCAAGGAGAGAGTGGGATGACATGTTCAAATTACTGAAGAGAAAAAAACCTGTCAACCAAGATACTGTATCCAATACTATGTTGAATAAGAGTAGTAAGAGAGGACATCCTTGTTCTTGTGCCAGCTTTCAAGGGGAATGCTTCCAGCTTTTGCCCATTCAGTATGATATTGGTGGTGGGCTTGTCATATATGGCTCTTATGAGTTTGAGGTATGTCCCTTCAGTATCTAGTGTATTGAAAATTTTTAACCTGAAGCGATGTTGAATTTTATCGAAGGCCTTTTCTCCATCTATTGAGTTAATCATGTGGTTTTTGTCTTTAGTTCTGTTTATGTGATGAATCACATTTATTGATTTGCGTATGTTGAACCAGCCTTGCATCCCGGGAATGAAGCCAACTTGATCGTGGTGGACAAGCTTTTTGATGTGTGGGTGGATTCAGTTTGCGTATTTTATTGAGGATTTTTGCGCTGATTTTCATCGAGGATATTGGCCTGAAGTTTTCTTTTTTTTTTGTATCTCTGTCCAGTTTTGGTATCAGGATGATGCTGGCCTCATAGAATGAGTTAGGGAGGAGTCCCTCCTTTGGTCACCAGCCTACATGTACCTGTAGGAGGTAGCTGGAGACCTCTGTTGGAAGGTTTCACTCAGTCAGGAAGAAAGGGATCAGGGACCCACCCAAAGCAGCAGTCTGGCTGCTTTTTGGTACAGCAGGTGTGCTGTGTTGTGGGGGACCTTTCCTTGTTTGGACTGCCTGTATTCTTCAAAGCTGACAGGCTGAAGTGGCTGAGTTGACCAAACCACAGAGATGGCAGCTGCCCCTCCCCCAGGAACTTGGACCCATCTCAGGGAGACTCCAACTCACTGCCATTGGTTGGCTGGGATTCCAAGCCAGTAGATCTTAACTTGTGATGTGATGTGGAAGTGGGGCCTGCAGAATGTACTGCTTGGCTCCCTGGATTCAGCTTCCTTCCTAGGGATATGTACAGATGGACCTCCCACCTTGCCAAGGATCCCAAGGCTGGAGTATATAAAACTCCTGGGTCTCTGTGTATACCTGAGTGGATGCTCTGTCAAGACTTCACAGAGCTCTGTGTATCAGACCCAAGGCCCTGGTGGTGTGGGCTCACAAGGAGATCTCTTGAGCTGTGGGTTACAAAGACCCATGGGAAAAGCATGGTTTCCTCGGCAGGGTCTCATAATCACTCAGTGCTTCTCTTGGCTAGGGGTGGGGGTCCCTTTGGCTCCATGGGGCTCCTTGGTGGGCCATCTCCACCCCGTGCTCTTCCTTGTTCTCCATGGGTTGAGTTTTTAGCCAAGTTGGTCCCAGTGTGAGAATCTGGATATGTCAGCTGAAGGTGCTAAATTCACTCACTCCTCTCCATTCTTCTCCGTGAGTACTGGGAACCACAGCCACTTCTAATAGGCTGTCTTGGATTGGGTCCCTCTGCAAACATAAGACTTTTAGAAGGCTCAGGTTTTTCACATTGGGCATGTCAGCTGATAATTTATTGTACCTCAAATCCTGCCTTCAATAATTGCTATGAACTCCACATAATAAGATGATTTCATGAGGAATAAATCTGCTGAAAGCATTAACCATGTCATGGATACCAAAGAGAGTGGGTTAGCGGGTCATATCTCCATTCATATTGACCTCCTCTATTCACCCCTCCACAGTATACAATTAAATGTAGTAATATTTTGGCAATTTCAAATGAAGCCTGTAAGATTATTCGCCTGTCCTATTTTCCTTTTTTAGGTAGTGTCTTAAAACATGAGAATCAAGGGATCCTTAACTACTACATTCCTAGCAAGGACAATCGCTGGGGAAAGGTGATAGTAGCAACCTTGCCCTTCTAACATTGCATGTTAAGAGAGCACTAACGATGGGGAGTATTTGGGATTTGGGAATGTGGAATGGGAACCTGGCATTGTTGGGGGAGTAGCAACATTAGGTTGCTTTTCAAACACCCCTAGAGTTCAATAGCTACAATTTCTTATCCTGAATTCCATTATTACTCCATATCCATCAAGCAAATGGGAACAGAGAATGGCCTCCTCTCACTTTCTCAATTCTCTGTTCTTCCATCTTCTCACCACTCCCTTCTGTACCTTCTGTCTTCCAACATACACTTGATAGGAATTGGGGGAGTGGAGGAGAGGCTCATGTGAGTTGGGGGCTGAAGGGGAGATTGCAATGGTAACTGCGTTTTTGTTGCTGTTGTTAAAGGTGTTTGGCATTTTGGAGCAAGCTAAAGAGCAATTTGATTTAGAAGACTATTCCGTCAGTCAGATCACACTGGAACAAGTTTTCCTGACCTTTGCTAACCCAGAGAAAGTATCCAGTGATGATGAAAACGAGGTGCCATGAGATTCATTTACAACCAGTGACCCTCGTGTCTTTCATAGATGACACCTGGATGCATAGGGGGACTTTCCTGTGCATGTGTATCTTGGTGTAAATATATTTACATAATAAAGATTTTCCCAAAGAAGAAAGTTTGTCCCCTTCATTGCAGATTTAGATGAGCAGCCTGTTTCCAGCATGCTCAAATCCGAAGACATTTGGTGAAATACCCGTTTTCTCTCCTTGAGATATGAAAGAGCAGCATTTGTCAGGGTTGGGACAGGAACCTGTTCCTGAGGGTTCTGGACATTTGAACAGAAAGATCCAGTAATGATGGAGCTGTCAGATGGAACAGCCCAAAGAACAAGAGCTTTATGTTTTAGCAGTTGAGTTATGGATAAGAAGAGCATAAGGCCTGGATCACATCAGCTTTCCCATGGATACATACACACACACACACCACACACATTCACACTCACACACAGGTGCAGATATACATGCACATACACATATATCTAATATAAATCATCAATGTTGGAGGGCTGAGTTGCGTTACTATTTCAGACATCCAAAATAAAGTTCATATGCTTCAGTTGAAAGAGAATTTTTGCACCAAGAACATTTGGGGTCCATGACCAGAAAAAAAAAAAAGATTATTTAAAAATAATGTGTTTTCTTTTCTACCATTGTCTCCCCTCTAATAAAGAAGAAAAGAAGAAGAAATAAAGTGAAGAGGGAGGGACACAGAGATACTTTCTTCTGATTCTTGCCTAGGCAGATACTTGGAGTCCCCCATAAATAATATGAGAAATCTAATCACCTCTTCAGGATTCATAGACAACTGAGTAGAAAACTAGGATGGTTCTTGTAGAATTGCAAGATGAAGAGAGTCTATAAGGCTGCTCTATTTTGGGGTGACTTGTTCAATGTTTTCAAATCCTTACTTGGATATTGTTGGTTATAAAGTGACATCCACCAGATGCTTACTGTTCTTTTTTTCTTTTTCTTTTTTTTTTTTTTTTTTTTTTAGATAAAGAGGGAATTTGAGTTTGTTTCTATGAAGTGTCTAGGAGTATAAGAAGTCTCCAATTAAAACAAAATTGAATTTATAGCTCTTTCTCTGGTTCGTAGGCTATGCTCACCTGAGTGTAAATCAACAGAGGGGTTTGACTAATTGCTAAAGCAACACTCACTGCAGTCTGCAGGTTGGCGGGGTGGGGAAAGGCTTTGGTTCTGGTTCAGCCTTTATATGGACCAGCCTTTATATGGACAAGATGTTGTACAGGTTGAACAGTGCAAATACATCCATGGCGGCCATTCCCCTTGGAGTTCTTGATTAATGAGAAGACCATCTCATAATCTAGTACTCCTCCAAAATGAGTAGGCTCTGGAATTTCATTTCTAACTTCTTTATCCCCAAGATCATTAAAACTGAATTATGGAACCTACTATTCCAATGTCCTACAATAGATCTGACAGCTATAATTCTGTAGCCCTTTAGAAGAAAATATCTTGGTAGGACTCTTAGAAGTATGGCCTGGAAGACTGTAGGTTTGCCATCTTATCCATGTTGTCTAGTGGGATAGATGACTTGGGTTTTTACTTAATACAATTCTTGTAATTAGGTTAAGGTCAAGAATTGGTTATTGTCCTGAATTTGATGTCTTGCTAGAATATATGACTGCTCAGGAAATAATGACCATGTATGCCACATTATGGGGAGTCTCTGAGCCCCAGATCCAACTGTAAAGAAATGGTTGAATTCACTTGAACTGGAGCCTCATGCTGATGAGCTTATCAACACCTACAGGTGAGTCATTATGCTGCTGCACCTTTTGTTGATGCTGCTAATGTTTGAGGTGCTTCCTTTTGTCCCTGCTGTTTGAAATGAAGCCCATAGCAACACCTGGGCTCGTTTTCGCACAGTTACTTAATTATGAAACTGTCTAATGTTCTAGGTTTCAGATATGAGTAATAAGGCAAATCAGTGTAGCTTCACATCTTCCTTTTGCAGAAATGAAACAATAAATATTAGTTTTATTTGAACTGTAGCTTCTGAACCTCAAAAGCTATCAATTAAGAGAGAGTTTAGGATTGCTAAAGCAGCTAGAATTTGAAGAGCAGGGTGCTGGTAAAGAGGAATTTGAAGAGCAGGGTGCTGGTAAAGAGGAGGCGAGGGCCCAGAAATTTGAATGGGGTTTGCTGTGAGTCATGAGCTGGCCTGTGCCATGTGCAAAGGGAGAGATGCTGTGAGGCCTATCAGAGAATGGCACCTGCTGGACTGAGAACTGAATGTGTTACCGGTGGAAGATAGCTGAGTTACTGGCGGTGAATCTGTGTGCAGCTGCAGCTACCTCAATTCTTGCCTCCTCAGAAGAAAGAATTCAACAGAGGGGCATAAGGCAGAAAAAGAGACCAAGGCAGGTTTCAGAGCAGGAGTGGACGATTATTTAAAAGGCTTTAGAACAGGATAAAAAAGGAAAGGCCTGTAATCCCAGCATTTTGGGAGGCCGAGATGGGCGGATCACGAGGTCAGGAGATTGAGACTATCCTGGCTAACATGGTGAAACCCCGTCTCTACTAAAAATACAAAAAACTAGCCGGGCGTGGTGGCGGGCGCCTGTAGTCTCAGCTACTTGGGAGGCTGAGGCGGGAGAATGGCATGAACTCGGGAGGCGGAGCTTGCAGTGAGCCGAGATCACGCCACTGCACTCCAGCCTGGGAGCACAGCGAGACTCCGTCTCAAAAAAAAAAAAAAAGGAAAGGAAAGTATGCTTGAAGAGACCCAACCAGGCACCGAGGTCAAGCGCCCTGTTTAACAGTGATCCTAATACTTTATAGGCTGGCCCCTTTCTCATGATTCTTCCCTTAGGGTGGGCTGCCCGCATGCCTGGTGCCCCCCTCACCCTTTGGAGGTGAGTACGCGCAGCATGTTCCGGAAGTTGTCCACATGCCCATCTGAGGCTTTCTTCCCTCAGAAGTTCCAGTGGAGTAACCCTGGAAAGTCATACTCTGCCATTTTATTTCTTAATGCACATGCCCAGGAAGTTGCTACTCCCTGGTGTCTGCATTCAATTAACACCGTTAATTTCGTGCAACAGGTGTTGACTATCAGGAAATGGTCTCTCCAATTTATCATTTTTTTGTTTTCTTGGTTTTTTTTTTTTTTTTTTTTTTTTTGGAGACGGAGTTTCGCTCTTGCTGCCCAGGCTGGAGTGCAGTGGTACAATCTCGGCTCACCGCAACCTCCACCTCCTGGGTTCAAGTGATTCTCCTGCCTCAGCCTCTCAAGTAGCTGGTGCCCGCCACCATGCCCAGCTAATTTTGTATCTTTAGTAGAGACAGGGTTTCTCCATGTTGTTCAGGCAGGTCTCGAACTCCCGACCTCAGGTGATCCACGTGCCTTGGCCTCCCAAAGTGTTGGGATTACAGGTGTGAGCCACCGCACCTGGCCCAATTTATCACTTTTAGAGAGGCAATGTGATAACTGTCAAATCATCACTCGACATTCCTGGTGGGTGGGGGGAGAGCCCTCTCCTGCCCCGCTCATACCTGTCTAACTACCTGTAACAAACGTAGACCCGGAGTTTACATAGTGCAGAGAATGTCGGAATTCTTACTGAGCCACAGTAGAGACACCTTACTAAGCACCCCTTATAGTTTTAACTCCAGAAAAGCCATGCCTTAGAAGTAAAGATCATGTCCTAGAATAAGATCAAAAACGTAAATAGACCCACCCTAACAAAGAATAAAATAAAAGCCTGACAAAATCAAAGGGAGCATGTGAAATATACGAAAGCTGGGGAAAGACATTTACTTCTGTGAACCAAAAAAGTATCTGAGACAGGTCTCAATCAATGTGGAAAGTTTACATGGCCAAGGTTAAGGATCAGCGCCTGACAGCCATGTATATGCCTTTCTCCAAAGATGATTTTGAGAGCTTCAATATTTAAGGAGAAAGGATTGATACGGGTGAAAAGGAAAAAAATTTAAAATGTTAATTTCAGCTCTTTGGGAGGCCAGTCCAGTGGACTGGCCTCAGGAGTTTGAGAACAGCCTGGGCAACATGGTGAAACCCCATCTCTATCAAAAATACAAAAATTAGCCAGATGTGGTGGCATGCGCCTGTGGTCCCACCTACTCGGGAGACTGAGGTGGGAGGACTGCTTGAGTTCAGGAAGTGCTGGAAGCACTCAAGCCTGAGTGACAGAGTGAGACTCTGTCTCAAAAGAAAAAAAAAAAAAAGAAAAATTTAAAAATGTGTGGGTAGACAAGAGACAAAGGGTTGCATCCTCTTGAATCTTTGATCAGCCTTTCACTGAATATACAATTTACATGTGAGAGGATGGGCAGAGGAATAGTCACTTATGTCATTGTCTGGCCCAGAGAATCTTCATTATTTTTACATAATATAATGTAAACAATAGGGCAGAGGAAGCAATCAGATACACATTTGTTTAAGATGGACTTTCAGTTCTGTCCTTTGTCCTGAACCTGTGAAAATAAGCTATCAGGCCTGGTGCAGTGGCTCACGCCTGTAATCCCAGCACTTTGGGAGGCCAAGGTGGGCAGATTACCTGAGGTCAGGAGTTCGAGACCAGCCTGGCCAACATGGTGAAACCCTGTCTCTACTAAAAATACAAAATTAGCCCGGCGTGGTGGCGCATGCCTGTAATCCCAGCTACTGAGGAGGCTGAGGCGGGAGAATCCGCTTGAAACCAGGAGGTGGAGGTTGCAGCGAGCTCAGATCGTGCCATTGCACTCCAGCCTGGGTGACAAGAGTGAAACTCTCTCAAAAATAAATAAATAACTAAATATTAATTAATTAAGCTATCAATTTACATTGCCAGGGTGAAATTCAACAGAACTGTTTTAGGGTAAAGATCTTCAGACGCGCATGTAATTTCCCTGCGGGCAAATTGTGAGGGAGGTTATGTAGCTTTTTATCCTTATAGCTGTCTTATTTAGGAATAAAACGGCAGGCAGGTTTGTCTGACATCATTCCCAGCTTGAATTTTCCCTTTGGCTTAGTGATTTGGGGGTCCTGAGATTTTTTTTTTTTCCTTCCACACTTCCTAACTCATTTTATCTATGATAGAAAAATGCATGAATAGGGGGAATGAAAAAGTTAAAGCCAGTATCACTCTGGAACATAAATGCACAAATCCTAAACCAATTAGTAGCAAATGAGGTCTAGAAATATATTAAAAGAATAAAACATCCAGACCAAGCTGTATTAATCACAGGAAGGAAAGATTTATTTATAATTTGAATCAATCAATATAACTTAACACAGTCTTAGAATGAAGACCAATCTGTTCACCTCAAAACATGGAAAAAGTATATGTGACCAGAAACAATAATTATAGCATATTACAAATTGATGTGAACTTTCTTTTTTCCTTTTTTTCCCCTGAGACAGAGTCTCACTGTGTTGCCTAGGCTAGAGTGCAGTGGCGTGATCTCGGCTCACTGCAACTTACACCTCCCAGGTTCAAGCAATTCTCCCTGCCTCAGCCTCCCAAGTATCTAGGATTACAGTGACCCACCACCACACCCGGCTAATTTTTGTCTTTTTTTTTTTTCAGTACAGACAGGGTTTTGCCATATTGGCCAGGCTGGTCTTGAACTCCTGACCTCAGGTGATCCACCCACTCAGCCTCCCAAAGTGCTGGGATTACAGGCATGAGCCACCATGCCCGGCCCCGGGAATATTTCATCAGAGATAATACTTGACAGGGTAGGATTCTGAAAGGAATGGGAAGGAAATGCCAACATCGAAATTATGCATTGGAGAGCCATGATTAATGCCTCCAGCCCTAAGATGGCAAGGTAATGTTGTTCCCAAGTATAAACCCACATCACTTTCCTTTGGTGTGTTTTACTCCTACTGTTGCCTCCTTTCCCTTTATATTCTCCCAACCCATGCACAAACACACTCACCATGAGGGCTCAGCTCAGGGTAGGTAGTTGGGCTCCATGGAGTCAAATTGGACTCCACGTTAACAAAACTAACAATTCGAGCTTTCCAGCAATGAACTCGTCTGCTCTTCCATGTCTACTCTTCCTGTCTGCTGGTTTCCACTCCCAGGGCTTTCAATGTGTTCTACACAGAAACCAGTTCAAGGACTGGGTTTTCTTCTGCAATAAAATGCTAGAGCTGTGGCAGAGACCTCCACTGTGAGAGCAGCCATGGAATTGGCTAGGAAGTGACATGATGTGGAAGTGGTAGATGTGTCCACAAGATGGCACTCCTAATTTGTAGTTTAATGCTTAATAGGCCCTTTTGCAATGGACAAATGAGATTTTATGATTTATGTAGCTGGTGTCATGAATTATGTTTCAAATCCTGCCACATTTTGAACAGAATTTATTTTTGCCCCTTTCCAATATTGGGTCATAACCTAAGAATGAGAGGACATTATAAGCAGGTGTGTGTGTGTGTGTGTGTGTGTGCGCACTTGAGCGTGGAGACTCGTGTGTTCCTCCTACCTGACCTGAACTGTTGAATGAAGTTACAATGACTGGACTCAGGGTCGCAGCTAACTTGGGAAATGGGATTTTGAAGTACTGGAAACAGCTTTGTATGCCATGCTAATGAACTTGAACTTTATCCTGAAAAACGTGGCTGTCGCAGGTGGCTTGATCACAGCACTGCTTCCCAAATTTCACTCAATGGTACCTGTATAATACATTCATGATTTTTGCTGTATATCCGTATCATCAAGTTACTTAACGTTTTTACACCAACTTTTATTATTTTATTAATGTAAAGAGGAAATTCACTAGTAGCATTGCTTGTCTTAATCAAAATAAATATATTATTAAAATGGAACAGTGCTAAATAAGATGTACACATGGACATAGAGTGTGGAATGACAGACACTGGAGACTCCGAAAGGTGGAGGGGTGGGAGAGAGGTGACGATGAGAAAGTACTTAATGGGCACCATGTACATTATTCGGGTGATGGATAAACTAAAAGCCCAGACTTCACCATTACTGCAATATATCCACATAACATAACTGTACTTGCGCCCCTTAAATTTATACAAATTTTTAAAAGGAAAAAAATGGAAGTGTTCATCTATGTACCAACTTAAAATCATCTCATGCACCACTAGTGTTAAGTCTACCACACGTGAGGAAACTGTATGGTACGAATTGGGTTGAGGGTGTCCCCAGCAGGCACAGAAATTGGGTTGGTGCCAGGTTTTTAATGCCCGGACCTTAAATCGTTAGACAGCGCGAGTCCGTTGTAGGCCTGGAGCAATTCAGACACAAGGCAAAAAGGACATAAATTTGCCTATGCCTTGTAACGTCTACACCACCAGCCTTTCTGAAACTATTGTGCATACGAAATCATCTCAGAATCTTGTAAAAACACCGATTCGGATCCAATATGGGACCTGGAGTTCATACATTTCTAATCAACTCCCAAATGACATTGATGCTGATACTGTCGGTTTCCCAACCAAGCAATGTAGCAAGGTACGAAATTCTTAAGTCCCTAAAGGGCAGGGACCACGCCTCCCGCGTTAGCACAGTGCCTGGCCCAAGGCACTTTATGGGTTAACACTCGCTGAGGACCGGAGTGAAAGCGCCCCCAGATCGTCACGTGACTGCCTTTCTCCGACAGCCGGTTTCGGCTCACATAACACATCTACTGTCCAAAACATTTCTATTTTTCTCACACAAAAACTACAGTTAAGTTTTTATATTCTATGTAGCCCCAGCCTAGGACGTAAGATCCACGAGACCAGAGACCTTGTGATGATTCCCCCAGGTTGCTGACCCTCCCGGTGTGCCCCGGGCCTGCTCTGGGGGACACAGCGGCGAATATGCTGAACAAGGCCCCTGTTTCACGGAGCTAAAGATCCAGTAAGGACTTCACCCAGCAAGAGGCAACTACGCTGGGCTTCGATGCCCAGTACCTCTGCAGAAAGGCGGAATGGCAGGAGTCTCCTAAAGTCCCCAATGTCCGAGGACGCGGAAACCCACGCCCCCAGTGCAGGTGTCACTCCGAGGGGCGCCTGCGCAGTCCCAAGAGAGGCGCGTCCCATTGGACAATCCCGAGCGGAAGAGCCCAAGGTAGCCGGGGGAGTTGTGACGGGCCGCTGAAGACGTACTTAGAAAAGGGGTGCATACTGGATATTCAGGCCAGGAGAAGAACGCAAAAAGTAGTGACGTACATTATCTTCTGCATATTTACTTGGGAAATTGTGTTTCTCCCTATTCTGAGTCTTGGAGGAATTGGACTCGTCCAACCTTCTGCAGGGAGCAGTAGAGCGCGGCAGTATAGAGAGTAGCCCTCACGAAGGGGACGTGGGAAAGAGGTGGCGGGGAACGCTGGGAAACTCCCGGCCTCCGCCACCATCTTGTTTTCCTTAAGCCGGCGGGACCGTTTGTGTCAGAACAATCTTGAATCATGAAGCTACTAACCAGAGCCGGGTCCTTCTCGGTGAGCTCAGGCGGCGGGTTTGGGAAAGGGCTGGGGAGCAGTGTGTCGGCAAGGTGATACGAGGCGGAGGTGTCTGGTCTGGGGTCTGGGCCTTGGGATTCGGTCTGCCCTTCAGCTGAACCCTGCGGGCCAAGTGGGCTGCAGACTGGGTCAGGCTTTGGAGGCCCAGCTCATTCTGTGAGCAGAAGAGACCTAACACCGGGAAACCTGAAGAGAGGGGCAGGACGTGAGAGCGGAGTTGAAGCGACTCCCTGGAGAGACTTATGAAGGTCATTCCGGCACTCAAGTGCTGGAGAGCGAGATCGCGAAACCCAGAGGGAGCGGGAGGACGGCGCAGACTTAGCCCCAACCTTCACTTTATCAGCTGCAGCCTCTGCTCCTTGGTTTATCACGGAGCATCAGTTTCCCCAGCGAATAAAGCAAAAGAAAGGAGCTCATGCAGATGTAACACTTATCACAGTGCCTGGAACTTCATTCATTGTTAATTACTACGATGTCTTAGTAGTCTAACGTTGCTTTTCTTGATCGTATGTTAGACGGTTCCTCCAAGACGTCTCTGTCCTCAGAAGCTCCTTACTTAAGTTTCCCCTTCAAGCCTAAATTAAACATAGCTGTCACTTGGGAAAAACTCACACATTAGGGTTATATCACGATGGGGCAGTCGTTATTAAGCGGGGTAAGGGGGAACACTTTTTAAAAAAATATATAGCGAGGGACAGTATGCCCCCAGGGAACCGGTGAGATGTCTGGAGACGTATTTAGTTGCAACAACTTGTCAAGAGGGTGGTATTGCCATCGAGAGACCAGGGACGCTGCTAAACTTACCCCTACAACAAAGAATTGTCTAGCCCCAAGTGCCAGTAGTAGTACCTGTGTTGAGAAACCCTCCTAAAATGGAGATGCAAAAGACCAGACCTGGGCATGGAATGTTCTTATGCTTTATGTTTACGTGAATGTGCTGTGGGCTGTATCAATTTCGGCTGTAACTGCATTAACCTTCCTGGTATACCTAGACACACCAGTGATTACCCTTTGAGGGAAGCATGGTTAGATTGGTAAAAGACCCCAAAATGTCCTTCTCCATTCTATTTTACAATAGAAAAAGCTCAGAGAAAACAGTTGGAGAGGCCCAAAGTAAACAAATTGCAGTAAACTTGAAAGCAGTTATTTATGTTTCTAATTTTAGCATTTTATATAGGAGAATAAGCTTGATATATCTTGTTATTAGAACAAAATAAATTAGTAATTGCATGACAGTTACTAGGATAATTTGCTGATTTGAATGGGACGATTAAGAAGCACATTTACCGGTCTGGCGCGATGGCTCACACCTGTAATCTTAGCCCTTTGGGAGGCGGAGGCAGGCGAATCAGTTGAGATCAGGAGTTCGAAACCAGTCTGGCCAACTTGCTGAAACCCCATCTATACTAAAAATACAAAAAACAAAAAAAATTAGCCGGGCGTGGTGGCGGGAGCCTCTAATCCCAGCTACTCGGGAGGCTGAGGCAGGAGAATCTCTTGAACCCGGGAGGCAGAGGTTGCGGTGAGCAGAAATCGCGCCACTTGCACTCTAGGCGACAGAGCGAGACTCCATCTCAAAAAATATATATATATATATCTCCAACAAAGTGTCACTATTTGGGCACATTTGGTTGGAAAACACCTAAAGTCTCACTTGGTAGCGGAACTATGGATTATTCATGTTTGAATTGCTATGCCCGTATACCTTAAAGTTTACTTTTTGGAAAATCATAGGTGAAAATTACAAAGAAGGTTAACTATACCATACCCAGCAAACTAAACTGATGATGATAAAGCAAAGCTAATTGTAATTCATAACGGAAAAGCAGTACTAAAAGCAAATGATAACCAGCAGCCAACCTAGTACAGCACTAGTGCTGGATGTACAACAAAGAGCCTTCTGGACAGCACAGAGTGGAGTCCTTGCAGCCTGTGCGGGGATGTCTGGGAAACTCCAGCGACGTGTTCATTGGGTCTTGGGAGCACCAGGTTTTATTCACTCATCATCTCCTCGGATAACCTCATGAACTTTAGTCATAATCAGAATGATTTTTATGGCATCGTATAACATTTGCCCAAACAAACTGAATAAAATGAGTGCATTTTGGGTCCATTATCTAATATTTAATGGGACCCTTTTACCCTACCAGTAACTGCATTTTATATATTGAGAATCCGCCGTGGATGAAGCCATTGTTAATCTAAGGATGACGTACATGTCATAAATGTTTTATTTAGTCAAAAAAGGTGAGACGTTTGGTTGTGTAATCTTAATGCAGCACATGAGAGTGAAGATACAATGAAAAATATTGAGGACTTGGAGGAAGTTGCTATATACTTTGTCTTTTGTTTTCTTTTCTTTTGTTTTCTTTTCTTTCGAGTTTTGCTCTTGTTGCCCAGGCTGGACTGCAATGGTGCAATCTTGGCTCACTGCAACCTCCGCCTCCCGGGTTTAACTGATTCTTCTGCCTCAGCCTCCCCAGTAGTTGGGATTACAGGCGTGCGTCACCATGCCCTGCTAATTTTGTATTTTTAGTAGAGACCGGGTTGCTCCACGTTGGTCAGACTAGTCTCGAACCCCCGACCTCAGGTGATCCGCCCACCTCGGCCTCCCAAAGTGCTGGGATTACAGGTGTGCGCCACCGCGCCCAGCTGCTTTGTCTTTTTAAAGGTTACTAAGACTATTAAGGAGATGAAACTATTTCAATTGGAAAATAGACTGAACGGGTGAGATTCATTGGGCAGATAAAAGAAGCAAGAAGCTGAAACCTATAAAAGGTTGTGGAGGCAGGCTGGGTGTGGTGACTCCCACCTGGAATCCTAGCACTTTGGAAGGCGGAGGTGGGTGGATTGCCTGAGCTCAGGAGTTGGAGACCAGCCTGAGCTACATGGTGAAATGCCGTCTCTACTAAAATACAAAAAATTAGCCAGGTGTGGCAGCATGTGCCTGTAATCCCAGCTACTTGGGAGCTACGACAGGAGAATTGCTTGAATCCGGGTGGCGGACATTGCAATGACCCGAGATTGCGCCGTTGCACTCCAGCCTGGCACACAGAGCATGACTTGGTCTCAAAAAAAAAACAAAAAGGTTGTGGATGGGGCGATCTGACACTTTTCCAAAAAATGCCAAAGCTTTAGAGCTACAAAGAATGATGAAACTTTTATAAGGTAACTGAAAGTTAAGAAAATACAGCGATTCTTTACATCATAAACAAATAAGCATCAGGAACTCTATAAATCACTAATAAATAGAGGTTTAAGAATAGCTCGGGTAAACTGGTGGGTTAATAAGTTATGCAGCTAGGCGGGGTGCAGTGGCTCATGCCTGTAATCCCAACACTTTGGGAGGCCAAGGCAGGCGGATCACTTAAGATCAGGAGTTCGAGACCAGCTTGGCCAACACAGTGAAACCCCATCTCTACTAAAAAATACAAAAACAAAAACTAGCTGGACATGATGGCACGCACCTGTAGTTCCAGCTACTTGAGAGGCTAAGGCAGGAGAATGGCTTGAACCCAGGAGTTGGAGGTTGCAGTGAGCCGAGATTGCACCACTGCACTCCAGCCTTAGCGACAGAGGGGCATTCTGTCTCAAAAACAAAAAAAAATGTTATGCAGCTAAATCCTCCCGTGGAGGTGGTTATTGCTCCTTTTACCCCTGAACACCCTCTGTTGCTTGGGTACCCTAAGGTACCATGCTTTTATATAAAGCACTGTTCTTGTAAGAAATGTGTGTGACCTGTGTTTTTTGTGTTTAGAGATTTTATTCCCTCAAAGTTGCCCCCAAAGTTAAAGCCACAGCTGCGCCTGCAGGAGCACCGCCACAGCCTCAGGACCTTGAGGTTAGTCCCACTAACTTGCTCACTAGAACCCATACATGCCTTACTCTCTTTGGTAATATGAAGATATTCATTATATCTCTACTTTATTTTAAATACAGTTTACCAAGTTACCAAATGGCTTGGTGATTGCTTCTTTGGAAAACTATGCTCCTCTATCAAGAATCGGTTTGTTCATTAAAGCAGGCAGTAGATATGAGGACTCCAACAATTTAGGAACCACCCATTTGCTGCGACTTGCATCCAGTCTGGTAAGTATCTTCATTACCTCAAGTGTTTGGAAATGCTGTGGTATCTTGGTCCTGTGAAAAAGAAAAACTAAAATCAAAGGCTTTATATTTGCCTCCTTGACCTGCCATAACAAATTACCACAGACTGGGTAGCATAAACCAAATAAATTTATCCTGTCACAGTTCTAGAGGCTGGAAGTCAAAGTCAAGGTATCTAAGCCAAGCCAAGATATCAGCAGGGCTATGATCCCTCTAAAGGTTCTAGGAAGGCACAAATCCTCCCCTGCCTGTTCCTAGCTTCCAGCAGTTGCCCACAACCCTTCATATTCCTTGACCTGCAGCTGCATCACTGCAGTCTCTGCCTTTGTTGTCACATGGCCTTCCTTCTGTCTGTGTCCACATTTCCTCGTAATAAGGATACCATTTATATTACATTTAGTGCCCACCATAATCCAATATGATGTCATCTTAAGTACTTAAATCTGCAGAGACCGTATTACCAAATAAAGTAACATGCAGACATTCTGGCTGGACATAAATTTAGGGGGGAACACTGTTTAACCCAGTACAGTCCCTTAATGTAGAATGAGAAACCACAACATATTTGCTGCAGAGAAGCACTAAATTAGTATCCATATGCACGTTGATATTAGAGCATAAGAAATCAGTAAACAAAATTTTAAAACGAAGTGCCATAAATTGAAAGAAAATTAACTCTTTTTTCCCATATGCAAGTCTCTTTCAGAATAGACTAATGAATCCAGTAAGCCTGTGTTTGACAGTGGAAATTTTATATGAATGTACTTAATATAAAAATCTATGCTTCAGCTTTTTGTTGAGCCTTGTTTTATAATTCTTAACTAAAAAGGATGCAGGAATTTAGTAAAATTCTTTTTAAATCTGCTCATAATAGTTAGACAACAGATTTTGACATAGTGTAATGTTTAGCAAACTTGTCATTGAAAAACTACAAAGATAATCGTTCTTTTCTTTTTCAAGACGACAAAAGGAGCTTCATCTTTCAAGATAACCCATGGAATTGAAGCAGTTGGTGGCAAATTAAGGTTTGTTAAATAAGTAATAGAAAATAGTGAAAATGCCAGAAAATATTCAATTGTGAGGGAACTTTTCTCTGTTATCAAGGAGGTTGAGGATTTCTTAAGTAACACAAGAAGGAAAAGACTGATGAGTTTGAGTACATCAAAATGTAAAACATCTTTATGTCTTAAAGTAAAAATTTAAGTAACTGATGGGAATAGATATCTGCAATATATAGGCATACCTCGGAGACATTGCAGGCTCTGTTCCAGACCACCACAAAATATCGCAGCAAGCCATAGGAATTTTGTGGTTTCCCAGTGCATATAATAGTTACGTTTACACTATACTGCGGTCTACTAAGTGTACAATGACATTTTATCTTGGGAAAAAAGTACATAACCTTTTAAAATATTTTATTGCTTTAAAAATGTTAACAATTATCTGAATCTTCAGCAAGTCATAATCTTTTTGCTGGTGAAGGGTCTTTCCTCCACGTTAATGGCTGCTGACTGATCAAGGTGGTGGTTGCTGAAGGTGGTGGTGACTGACAATTTCTTCAAATCAGACAACAATGCAGTTTGCTGCATTGATTGACTCTTCCTTTTATGAAAGATTTCTCAGTAGCATGAGATGCTGTTTTTAGCCATTTACCCACAGAACAACTTTCAAAATTAAAGTCAGTTGTCTCAAACCTTACCACTTTTTTATCAACCGAGATTATGTAATATTCTTTGTTATCATTTCAACAATGTTCACAGCATCTTCAACCAGGAGTAGATTCCATCTCAAGAAACCACTTTCTTTGCTCATCCATAAGAAGCAATTCCTTATCTGTTCAAGTTTTATCATAAGGTTGCAGCCCTTCAGTCACATCTTCAGGCTCTACTTCTAGTTCTCTTGCTCCTCCCACAATATTTGCAGTTTCTTCTCCCTCTGAAGTCTTGCCTCTCAGAGTCATCCATGAGGGTTGGAATTGGCTTCTTCCAAACTCTATGTTAATGTTGATACTTTGACATCCTCCCATGAGTCACAAATGTTCTTAATGGTGTCTAGAATGGTGAATCCTTTGCAGAAAGTTTTTTAATTTACTTTGCCCAGATCCATCAGCGTCTTCACTGTCTGTGGTAGCTATAGCCTTACAAAATGTATTTCTTAAATAATAAGAGATGAAAATAAAAATTACTCCTTGATCCATGGGATGCAGAAGGGATGTACTGTTAGCAGCCATGAAAACAGTATCAGTCTCCTTCTACATCTGCATCAGAGCTCTTAGGTGACTAAATGCGTTGTCAGTGAGCGGTAATATTTTGAAAGGAACCTTTTTTCTGAGCAATGGGCTTAAGATATTCCATCAACCATGCTATAAACAGATATACTGTCATCCAGGCTTTTTTGTTCCATTTACAGAGCACAGGCACAGTAGATTTAGCATAATTCCTAAGGGCTGTAGGATTTTGAGAATGGTAAATGACCTCAACCTAAAGTCACCAGCCACATTAGTCCCTAACAAGTGTCTGCCTGTCCTTTGAAGCTTTGAAGCCAGGCATTGACTTTAGCTATGAAAGTCCTGGATAGCATCTTCTTCCATTGTAAGGCTGTTTTGTCAACATTGAAAATCTGTGGTTTAGTGTAGCCACCTTCATGGGTGATCTTATGTAGATCTTCTGGATAACTTGCTGCAGCTTCCATATCAGCATTTGCTGCTTCACTGTGTACTATTATATTAAGAAGATGGCTTCTTTCCTTAAAGCTCATGAACTAACCTCTGCTAGCTTCAGACTTTTCTTCTGCACCTTCCCTCTCTCAGCCTTCATATAATTGAAGAGAGTTAGGGCATTGCTTTGGACTAGGCTTTGACTTAAGGTAATGCAGTTTGATCTATCCAGACCACTAAAACTCTCTATTATCAGCAATAAGGCTGTTTTACTTTCATATCTTTGATGTGTTTGGTGGAGTAGCACTTTAGTTTTCTTCAAGAACTGGACTGGTGCAAGAGGCTTAGCTTTTGACCTGTCTCTGTTTTTAACATGCCTGCCTCACTTCCTCAGAAACTTAATCCTTTCTAGCTTCTGGTTTAAAGTGAGAGACATGAGACTCTTCCTTTCACTTGTATACTTAGAGGCCATTGTCAGGTTATTAATTGGCCTAGTCAATATTGTTGTGTCTCAGGAGTAGGAAGGCCCAAAGAGAGGAAGAGAGACTTGGGGAACAGCTGGTCAGTGGAACAATCAGGACAGAAACAGCATTTCTTTCTTTCTTATTTATTTATTTATTTATTTTAAAGACAGGGTCTTGCTCTGTTGCCCAAGCTAGAGTGCAGTGTTGCAGACATATCTTATTGCAGCCTTGAACTCCTGGGCCCAAACGATTCTTCTCCCTCAACTTTCCAAGTAGCTAGGACTACAGGCACATGCCACCATGCACAGCTAATTTTTTATTTGTTGTACTGATGGGGGTCTATGTTGCCCAGACTGATCTTGAACTCCCGGCCTCAGGCAATCCTCTCACCTCAGCCCAGAGTGCTGGGATTACATAAGTGAGCCACCATACCCAGCCCAGATTTTTTATATATTGTGTTGTCAGTGGTAAAGATGATAGAGAATGTCTCATTCTGCCGATAGGTTTATAAATTGATACAACCACTTAGGAAAGAATCAAGGAATATCTAGTAATACTGAAAAACCCCACAGTTTTTAATCACATGCACAAAGATATTCTTTATAAAGACTGGAAATGATCTAAGTGTCCATCTTTAGGGAAGTGGATAAAGTATGACAGTCATGATGAGACCACTACACGGCCATTACAGAATGAACTAGATCTGTACATCAGTATAGCACAGCTGAAGGACAAAATAGTGTGTGAACAAGCAGGTTTCAAGATTTTTTTAAGGTATAGTTTTTAAAGCAGAAAAATACTATGTAGTGCTTATGATTGTAGTTTCCAGAGTGGGAGAAAGTGAGGGAATTGGCCTTGAAAGGGTATGAAAAGATCTTCAACTGTATTTGCCATTTAAAAAAATTGTGGTCAAATGTATGTAACATAAAATTTATCTTCTGTTTTTTTTTT